TTCGATTGCTTCAATTGAGCAGACACTTGAGGCTTCACGATTGCACTCCCACTCGCCAGCATGACCTCCGAGAAATCCCATCAACCTCAGATCACTGCAACAATGGTAACACTTTTCCACCGCACATCTGGCTTACTTCGACTTCAGTAAAGACTGAGGGCGTCAGTCTGCAATTTATGCCACTTTCCGTGTTTCCGTTTTTCCTCAGTGTGTAATTACGGCAAAAATTTGGTTTGAGGGCAAGAATTGACTGCAACAATCCATCCAATGGAAGTTAACGAACCTGAGAGTTAAGTAGAGCCAAGGCACTGTTAAAGGATAACAAATTGAGAAAACAATTTGTCCGACTCACTGTGGCAGTGTTCGTTCCCTATCACTGTCCTCGGGGCGTGTACGACGATTCTAGATGGGAGGGTATTGCACGGTTGACATTCCCATTTACGCAAATTTGCGTATGCATTTGTGTTCCTATTCTCACTTTTCGCTAATTAATATTCGCATGGCTGACGTAAGGAGAGGCGAATTTAGAAAAACATTGCAAAGTGAGCTACAGAATGCACAACAGCTAAATCCTTCCCAAAATAGTTTTTCATTGAAATAATCACTGCAGCAACTCATAGTACACGGACATGTTGCAATGAGTGGCAGCTACTGAAAGATTACTTGTATAAAATGTTGTGCATCTGGATGTCAAAAAAGGTCGAGATTTGTCCATCTCTACCTCCATTTGCTTCGTCGTAGGTGATGGTCATCACTTGGAGGCATGTCATTAAAGGAATGGGTCAGCTTCTCTCTCGATCTACCCCCATCCTGATGTGCCAATCATCTCAAGGATCAACTGTGCATTCATGGAATAATGTGCTGCAAACAAGGTACCATTAGACAATTATCTCCTCCTCACTGTCACACCAACCGTAACTGCTCTTCGAGACAATGTCTTCATACTCACCCTCCAACTGCATACTTTCCAGTAGGCATATGTCGTAATTGTCGTTTGGTCTTTAGTAAAAGGTGCCCATAAATAGCTATGCCCGCAATTCATCACCCTGTGCACACACACGAAACACAGACTTGTAGGAAGGGATTAGTGTGGTGGTAGCGTGGAGTGGTGAAATGGGTTGATGGCATTGGCATTATTAACGTGAGAATCTGCTAAAATATCATTTGAATATTTTGATACTACTTTAATTATAAACTACACTTCAAAACTGGACGTAAAGGGATCAAACTGCGGAACTCATTTGGGTAGTTGGTAGGACTTCGAAGCATTTGGTTGTTTAAATAAACTTAATGCGTCCAGGAGGAGATGCCTGTTAGAGACAGCTGACGATGACGAATGACAAGGAAAGGTTTTAGTGAGTAGGAATATTAGGAAAATCCTTATTAGTCACAGAACGACTTACCACTTTTGGTGGGAAGTACTCTTAGGAGGTGAGAGTCCTTGTTTGAATGAAATGGGTTGTACTGCCCTA